ATGTTGAGCAAAGCAGCTTGTGCGTTTAGTACAGGGAAGTTGAGATTGTTTTCCTTATGGTTTAAATAAAGAAAAATAAAAACAAACATGGTTTACAGAAAGCAAGCTTGCACTCTGCAGAGAAGCCACACCAGAAAGGCTAATCTATTTTTGACGCCGTGCCATCGATTTGGGGATCTTTCACGCGCAATTGAAACAGAAGTCCATCACAACGAAAGCATTAAAATACAGACGCTGAGAGCTGTGCTGGAGCTCATCCGGATGTCCTCAGCCAGAAACAAACGGCTTCTGGAAGAGCAATGCAGGTTCCCCCCTCCGACTCCTCAATCTTTCCACCAATTCCAAAAAAAAAAAAAAAAATTGACAGCATTTCTCCGTAAAGCTTTACGGCAGCTTCCAGGTGGCTTTCAAAGCAGACTGGCACCGTCTCTCCGAGATGGATATCTCCCGCCGCAGTACGAGACAACACCGCTGCGAGGAGATATCCATCGCCTCCACATCAGTGAAAGTGCAGAAATGAACAACATGCTCCGCAAACATCATCTTTCAAGAGAAGGATGACGGTCTTAAATAAATGCACCCAGGTGTACACAACCTCAGCTGTCCACTTTCTTCCTTGGAGTTCGGATTGCCCAGGCAGTTCCAGATTGCTGAAAATCCTGACACTTCAGAAAGCATTCAAGCTCACATTGTGTGTCAGAGCAAGCCTGAATTAATTCGCGGTGCATATCTATAGACACAAGAAGCTGTTTAGTCCTCCAGATGTTGATTTTTGTGGCCATTCCTCTAAAAATATTCCCAGTCCCCTGAAATAATTTCTTTGACATGATCTCATAGTCACGTAGTCAAGTTTATATAGGAAGAGTCCCAGTGGGTAACTTATCTCAGCCAATACTGGGTTACTAGTGTCCATCCAGCTAGGGACACTAGAAAACCTGACATTAAATACATCGTAATTTTAAGTAAAACCTCAGAATTCCTGCTTCACCTTTCACTCAAAAGCTAACTGCATATCATCTGTGTGTTTAAAAAGTGTACAGAATGAAGTATCTGTATGGTCAAAAATATGCAAGATTGAGGAGTGAAAAAGCAAGAGCATGGTTTTTTGGAGACTGAAATTATAACTTTTAAGAGAAATTTCCAGACACCAGCCCTTGCTGAAAACCCATGCCAAAATCCCAAATCATCACCCCCACCACTGTTCCCATTACATCTCCCGTCCTTCAACAAGACAAGTCATCCCTGTGAGCCAGATGCTTTGTTATCCTTTCAGAAGGACAACCGGTCCTGTGTCTTGGGGTTGTTCATGCCACAGAAGCGGTGACAACCGCCCGGAGAGGTTGCACACAGGGGTTGTGAGACAGCAGGCACAGTCAGGCTAAGGAGGACGAGGACACGTCAACCACGCGGGTGTGAAAAGCCATCACAGCGATACCTGGCTCCTTTAGGACCGCTTCTACTCCTTCCATCACCATCAATTTTTCTTCCTCTGCCTCCTCTTCTTCTAGTGGGCTTATCTCAACATTGTCAAGAACACGTGTGGCTAAAAAAGTTATGCAGATATTAAAATGCCACCTCAAAAAAATCAACCCGAAAAGGAAATACTGCCACGAGTAAATCTGCAAGGCCACCTCTCTTTAGGGACTTCTGCTTCTTTCGCAGAGCTTCAGAGCATCAAGACACACAGGAAAAATAATAAATAAAGAGACAAATCTTTTTGGGCTGAATTTCGCCATTCAGTCATGAATTACCTGCTGTCCAGAACTGCTTTGTTTTAGTTACATCTTCTTGACTAACTGCCTTTAACCATGTTGACACACGGCACTAGATTTAAACCCAGTAGTAAGAACTGCTCCAAAACGTGAGATGCAGAGCATGGCTCACCATTATCCTGGCCCAGAAAATTGTCCCTAGCGGGACCAAAAGCATTAAGAGGTCAAAAAAAGCAAGGAGATGGGCGCGAGGCAGCACAACGAGGGTTGTGCGCTAAGGGGATGCTTCCTTGCAAGAGGTCGCTCACCAGCTCTGCTTTTAATTGCCCCTAGGGGGGATTTGTTTGAAGCGGTGAAGTGGCTCTGAAAAAATAACCAGCTTGGGAAGAAGCAGGCTCCGTAGCGGAGAAAAAAAGGAGGATGCAGGTTACCTCCGCAAACTCGGCTGCAAAACCCAGCGAACACAACTTGATTTTTAGGCGCTGCGTGTTGCTACAGTTCGTGGGGATTAACCTTACGGAGAGGGTCCGTAGCGTGGGAGCGTTAAAAGGGCATTATACACAACTGCCATTAATTTGCACACAGCCAAGCCGCGGCATGATACTTCACTTTTTCTTCTCACACGGAGGCACAGCCTGCTACAGAAACACTCGCTATGACAACTGCAAGATGCAGCACACTCGCAAAGCCAGGTCGGATTTTAATGGCGTTAACCCCACTGCAAACAACGCAACCTCTACCCTACGGCACTTCAACCCCGGGGGTCACAGCAACAGGCGTAAGGACGGCAGGCGGCCGCGTCAGCCACACCGACGTCAGGCGCGGCCGGGGGTGTCTGGCTCGGCAACGGGAACCTTAACCACCTCTACCTGCTCCTCTTCCTCTTCCTCCTCTGCAATGGGTTTCATTTCAAAATTTTCAAAAGCGTGTTTGGCTAGAAAAAGTTTCGCATGCGTTAATAGAGCGTTTGGAGAGCTGTTGCGGACACACAACAGTCGCTACGGCTGAGGGAACAGCGAGCGGACATCCTCTCCGGAGCAGCGTCCGAGAGCTGCACTGGGGTTTTTTAACCGGGCAGATTATTCGTATTCTTCTGCAATTGCACACCAGTTTGTCTAGCGCTGCTAGACCCAACAGCGAATTACGGAGAGGGGAAAAAACCCAAACGACTAAGCGTTGCAGGCCTCTTTCCCAGGCAGGACCCTGCGGCGATGGCAGGAACACGCTAACGCTTCCCGCTCGCACTGCTCCTGTGCCGGGGAGGGCAAAAAGGAGCAGGCGCCGACGAGCGGAAGTAAGGAAAAGCACTTGCAAAGGGAGGATCCCATCTCCAACAACCAACCAGCAGCTTTAATTAGATGTACTTGAGTGACCAAGCTTCAAATGTAAAGATTAAGAGTGTGCAGCGAACTCTCCTGATGTCTTAAACGCTAGTTCTCCACCTTCTGTGTTTACAGGCGTTCGCTCTCAGGGCCGCCACAGGCTGTGCTGGCTAGGAAGAACTCAAGGCAAGCCAGTGGTTTGGGGGATTTGCCACATTACGCTCTACTTATGAAAGCGTGATCTGGGTTTCAGACCACAAAAACAGCGGTGTCAGAAGAGCTGTGTAAAAACACCAGGGTGGAAGAAGGAAAGTGGAGCAGTGCGCAGTGTATTTGCCTATGAATCCTCTCCAGCCCTGATGCTCCACAGGCTTTTGCTACTTAAGCGAGGAAGAAAGCAAGTATTTGACAATACCGCTGCTGTGATATGTTTACTAGTATTCAAATATGGTGCTGTACCTACTCTCGTCTATTAAGAGGACTTTATTACTTATTAAATAGTACCTGACTTAAGAGAAATCTAGGCTCCACATAGCACACTGGGAAGCATTTCTCAAACTATAGTAAAATCCACAAAAGGCTTAAAGAAATGCAAGCAATTCTTGAGATGAAGCTTTACAGAAGCTTTAAAAGAAATTTCAAGATGACAAGAAAAGAAATTTTAAATTTTCCAACCCACATTTATAAAAGACATCCGAATTTAATAAGGAGACAGATCTGACGTGCCAGCACATCCCAATCTTCCCCTCACCTCCCCAGCAGAATTACTGCCTAGCGAGGTGCAATGCAGAAATCTGGGAAGTCTCCACACTCCCAGACCCAGGCCACTCCCGAGCTCTCTGTTCTCCGAGTACAAAACTCTCCTTGCAAAGAAACGAAAAAGAAAGCTGCCAGATTTGGTGAAAATTTTCAGAGTTGTCAAGAACAAGCATGTAAAGGCGTCTCAGTGGGGAAAGGATAGGCAATGCACTGCAGAGATTTGTAGCCACCACAGCTATACCTGGCTTCTCTCGGGACTGATCCACGGGTTTTGATTCGGGAACCTCAACCACCACCACCTCCTCCTGCTTCTCTTCCTCTACGGCTCTGAACTCAACTTTTTGAGTCGCACGTTTAGCTGAAGAAATTGCGCACATGTTAACAACTGCCCACCCAGCAGACGAAAAAAGGCTGCAGACTTCAACTCGGACAGAAGCGTTATGGTGCCAGGCTGCTCTTTGCAAGCTCTGACATTCGGGGCCAAGACTACAGCAGGGCTTCGCCTTCCTCCACAGTGAAGCTCCTCAGCTAGAGAGCTGGGGTCGTAACGGCCTACAAGGCACGGCCAAGGGGCAACGAACCGCGCTGGTCCATGCACCCAGCCAGGGTAACCTCGGGCGCCCGTGCTGCAAGCAAGCGGGTATTTTGCTTTGCTCTTCGCGTCACCGCTGCGGGACGGAGGTTGAACTAAGCGGTCTTCCCTCCCGGCCCCGAGGCACAAAGCCCAGACTCAGGGTACTGCTGAGCCCTGTAGACTCACGCCAGGAGCAGAGGCAGCCTGGCTGCTGCTGGCCCCGGGGGCTCGGGCAGCCCTGCTCTCTCCTAGCGTGATGTCGGGGCTCAGGGCGATGCTGTTCTTGCTCTATTAGATGCTCCCAAGGGCAAAGGTAAGCTCCCCTGTGCCCCGGATCCTAATTTTACGAGCATCCCTAGATCCAGATCAAGGGGTAGAGGCAAAGCCATGCATTCCCCCGTTGCACCTCCCCTCGCCTGCCTGCTGGCTCCTATCTGGCCCCTTTAAAAATGTCAGGGAAGAGCCCACCCGGTTGACGCACCGCAAACTTGGATATTATTATCACTTAAACAGCCATTGAAAAAGTTTCAAACTTTAGTGGCAAAAACCCTTCCCCTCAAGGGAAACAATATTGTTATTTAAGAATATATTCTTATATGAAACAGACCAATCCTAGAATAGGTTAATTCCTGATTTGCCAAAAGAAAATTGTGCTCAGATTCAATGAGGAAGTTATCTTTGCAACCAAAACTTTGCAATAGGCTTGCAATACCCATTTACAGCCATAAATATTTTTTGCCAGTCAGTCCTTGGTAGCATTACTATTTATATTCTCTAGGTCTTCAATTAAGTGAGAAATTATGTTTTCCCTTTTCTTTTCTTTTTGTTTTTTTTTTTTTTTAAGCAAAGCAAATACCGACTTACAATAACGGAGCTTTTACATGTTTTCAGGGCAGTCAAAGTTCACTAAGCGAGCTTTCTCCTCTAATCAAAGCAAGAGCTAGACACAGCGACAGCTACTGAACAGCATCTCCCTGAATCCGGCCACGGAAACGTCCTAATAGCGATGAAGCGCCAGACACTAACCTCCGTCGAGGCTCCTGGAGGCCCGCTTACTTGCCGTCCGTTCAAACTGGGGAGCCGGTCTGTCGATCAGGGCGCTCGCCTGCCTCGTCTGCGCCTGCGTCCGGCCACTGTAGCGGAACTTGGAGCCCAGCGCCAGGAACCTGCTCTTCGGGATCGCCTCGGTGGACGTTAGCCTGAAAGCCACAGCGACACGTTAACACCGTACCTCCAGACACAGGTAGTAGTAGTACATCAGGAGAAATTAAAACATAAACTGAAGAAGTCTCTGCAGGCACTGACGATTAATGAGCCAACATGTGCTAGCAACAAGCGCCACGTCTACATAAGACAAAAGACCTCACACGCAAACTGCCTCGAAGTTTATTGCAATGTAAACACTTAATTTCTCTGCAATCATTTCACTCCAGTTTTTGTTAGACCCTAAGGAACACTGAAGAAGTGTCCGTGTTCAGCATCTAAAGCGTTAGTTATTCAACAGTGATCAAAGGTAAGACCAGAATTTAAAAACCCACCTGAAAAACGTGTGGTGTTCAACACATACTTTCCACAGCTTCTTTGCTGCCCGATAACTTGGTAGCTTGAATCCAATTGTACTTTCATATTGCTCTTGCTGCGGAAAATATACGTTATTTAGGCATAGCAAGAGAAGTGTGGGGCAGAAGAGCCCGGTCCCCAGCCCACCAGGCTTCTGTCTGGGGCACAAACTGCTGGTCTAGTCCACGTGAACTCACTCCACAGGTGGGCAGGGTCTAGCACGGGCCTTCCAAAAAAGGGGGAAGCTTTCTCCCAATTTCAGCTATGAACTTAACTTTAAACTCTGCTTTCCGGCCAGATCGCGGGAATACCACGCTGTGCCAGGAGGTGGTGCTAGATGATACGTTTAAATTGCCACCATCTATTTTATCGCTTCAAGCAAGGTCATTGGGCTTTACTTTCAGAACTGAATTTACTACCAAGGCAAGAGCAGAAATACAACAGGGTGCAAAGCGCCCATTCAGAATTTTCCCCCACTTAATGAACCGTATAAGTTGGTGATGATCAGAAGGCGATTAAACAAAACAGAAGATACGAGCACAAACAAGTCAGAATGTACCTCCCCTGGCCGAATCTTAATAAAGAAGCTGCTGCGTTTGTAGGAAATCTTCAGGACTTTGGGCCAAGGGAAGCGGTTGATTCTCAGCTTATCTTTGTAAACAAGAAGGCCACTGGAACAGACTCCCAGAGTGATATCCACTCCTTCCAAGTCCTAAGGAAGCAAATGAAGATTTGAGCGGAGACCAGCGTCAGGGTTACAAGTTCCACGTCAATGTTTGTCCTCCTCCAAAGGAGGAAAGTTTTGTCTTTCCTTGAGGCTCTCTTGAATTTATCTCCCCACCTCCCAGACCTCAAAGTTTTCAGCGCCCTATGCAGCCGGGGCCAGACTTACTTTTCCTTCACTTCTCTCCTTACAGTCTCCTGCCTCTGCTGGTCTCCTCTGTGATGCTGACTGCTCAAAGTGCTGTCTAGAGTCTATCCTGCGTATCTCTGAGTTGTGGGACTAGCTGACTCTGCAGGGTCACAACCTTATTCTAAGTGCTTCCGAGCAAGGACCTGTCTACATCAGTAGGTTTGTAAAGCTTCCTATGATATATAAATAATAAGCAAGTCAGGAAGAATCACTTCTCTTACTACGCTCGCAACAGTGCTTACAGCATTTCCTCAGTGCTTATAGCCAGTTTCCTGCCTACATCTTTCAATGGGGATGTCCCGAAATAAGAAGCTTGCTCCTACAAGGGAAAAAAAACAGACTGCAAAATGCACAGGACAGGTGCACACACTGCATCTCACCTTGGCTTGGTGAAGGTCAACTCCATACATAGACAGCTTTTTTGCATTCTCAAGAAATTCCAGGTCTGCTTGGGCTGGTGTCATGGATCTGGGGAAAGAGAACAGGGGCTTGGTATTCTTGGTAGCTGTTACTTTAAAGAGGGGACACATCAGGCTTCACAAAACCGTTTACTTGTTAGATCTTCTTTTGCTTTGAACGCTAACACATCTGTGCCCAGATGATGGGCATATTAAATGGGCACATATTAATTTCTTTGGCACGCACACATTTGTGCTTTGAGCTAGCCTCACAAAACGGATACACCTTTTTTGCTGTGGAGCAGTACAGATACCAGACAAGAAAGCAAGCTATCTGGCGAGTAAGTGCTGTAGAGGGTATAAAATGCGATTCTACGGAAAAAAGACCAATCCAGCTGAAGGCAAAGAGTGACAGGTACTGTCCTCCTCAGTGCACTCACTGCCTTGAGACCATTGTTCTCCAAGCGAAGCGCGAGGACAGCTGAAATCACTTAGCAGAGGCTCCTACTGGGGCAGCCGAGACGAATGAGACATTTTCCGGGAACAGATGGTGCCGTGTCTGCGGGAGCAGCAACACAACCGAACTTTGGTTAACGGCAACATCCCGATAATGGAGGCTATTATCAATGTTATTGAAGTGCCCTTGTCATTAAGTTTCTGTTGTTCAAGATGCCTCTAACAGCTCTTCCGGGAGAGGTTTCGGTTGTACACATCTCGCTTTATTCACTCGTTTGGTGTCTTTCTTCCTGATCAATTGCGTACATTTTGGGTGCAAATACAAGCAAGGTTATTTAGCGGCGGGATACGGGGCATATAAAAAACACTGTAAGGACGATCCTAGGCAAGAGGTAAGAGCAGTTACCATCTCCAGCACGTGCCTTGCGCTGGGCAAAGAAAGCAGCAGCAGAATGAGCACAGTTC